TAAGTAATTTAATGTTGGCTTCTCTGTCTAGTAAAATCACTGTAGGACATTTAGGATATTCAGGTTAGATATTTTATGAGAAAATAAACCCAAATCTTGTGTAAAAGAACAAAATTAAGGAGAAGAAAACTTTCACACTAGTCTAGTTTGTTTAAGGATTTACTTTAGGGTCATTATCAGATTCTTAAAAACTCTTCAAACCTGTTGATGTCTTAATTTTTTAAAAACTGTAGCTGTATCAATTTGCATTCTTTGTTTCTACTCTCATATTCTGGCAAGCATCTCAAGTTTTATTAAAGGGCCGGCTTATTTCAAGTGTAATGAGGTTACTGTCCTGGTGGGATCTTAGTATGTACAGTGAATATAAACTAGGCAGCTCTGGAGTAAGATGATCGTTGTGATCCTTGTACTTTTCTCCCTCTTCTGTATGTGCTGTTTTATGGAACATTTATATCGGATTGTGGGCTGAGCCTTGGGCTCAGTGCCAAGGTTGTCAGTACCTGTTTCCTCACACCTGCCTTGGGACTGCCCTACTTGTCCCAAGAAAAGAAGTTAGGCACTGAAGTTAGTATGTGAATGAAAGGGAGACCTGAAGCTGGAAGGTCAGCGGCCACCACTGACAGGCCATCTGCTTTCCCATTTCCCATTCCAGTGCACTGGCCTCTTGCTGTACCAGGCAGCCTGGTGCCTGAGCCTGGACTCGGCCAACTGTGGCCAGCAGACTGGGGTTGGTGCTGGAACCGTTAACAGTGTAGGACAAAGTAAGGGTAGAATTTGGTGTAAGCATCTAGAAACTTCTATAGCAACTTGACAGTAATTTATGTTCACTGACTCTGATGATAGAAGTTTCGTGCTTGGCTTTTGTATGCTTTTATTTTGAAATTTCATTTTTCTGGAAATTCCTCTTTATTGTATTTTACAAAAGTGTTGGTCTGTGACAGGTCTGTGGTCCTTTACCACAGATAGCTGGGAGAGTAGGGGTCTAAACCACGTAAATAAGCCAACTTTAAAAATCTTTTCATTTCCATGTCTTTGATAGTTTTTTGAAAAAGATATTCTGTAGTATGCATAAGTAGCCGATGCCTATGACTTGTTAATCTTGAAAAGTTCTAAAAAGTACAACTGGCCACAGATTACAGAGGGCTACAATTACAAAATCTATAAAAGCCTACCTCTCTGGTAAAGGAGGGGGAAGGGCTTTTGTCACTTAGAGACACAGAGAGTTGGCAGCCCCAATGGTACAGCTTTAGCCATGGGTCAAAAACAAATAGAGAACCACACGAACAACAGAGAATTCTGTTAATTGTTTGGAAACAGAATAGTCAGCGTAGCAGAGAGCAACGCTTGGGACTTTTCATTCCGTAGTGGACACCATCCCACAAACTGACTAATCCACGGTTTTGTGACCCAGATGCCAGGCTCTCAGAATCTGCAAGCCCATCATAAAGACAGACTTGGAACGCCACCACCAGGGGAGTGGGTGGTGGTTAACTGACACACACACGGAACTGTCCAGAAGGGTCAAGGAAGGCTCGCTGGTGGAGATGTTGCCAGTTTGAGAATTTATAGCACAGATCGGATTTTGACACATTCTGTTTTAGGAAAACTGCTTCGCTCTGGTGACATTACAGCAATGGTTTTTCTTTTAAAGAATGTTTAGGCCTACTTTTTGAAGGTTTATGAAGGATTTTGCCATTGATGCTTAGCCACAGAGGTATATCCAGATTGTGTGTTGTTTCTGGTTTAGCTCCTCCCTTGACACGCTCACTATTATGTGTCCTGCTGACCCTTGAGCAGCGTGGGCCCCAGGGTGCCAGCCCTCCGCGCAGTCGAAAATCTGCGTATAACTTGTGGTCAGCCCCCTGTGTAAGGGTTCCCCTGTATCTGCGGTTCCGCTGCTGGGGATTCAGCCAGCCAGGGATTGTGTGGTACTGAAGTGTTTATTTACTGTTGAAAAAATATGTGCATATAAGTGGACCTGGGCAGTTCAAACGGGTGTTGTTAAAGGGTCAACTGTAGTGATTTTCCGTCACTTCATCACTAGTATATCATTTCTTCTGACCACTCCGGAGGAGTGGTGTTTCTTTTCAGGAAGCAATTGATAATATATTTATTCATCCTTATCATCTCATTTGAAGAGCGAAAGAGATAACTAAGATATCAGAAGTACAGCTGATTTTGTTATGATCCAGCAACCTTGCTAAATTCATTTATTAATTCCATTAGTTTATCTATAGATTCTTACAAATTTTCTTTATACATAGTCGTGTAGTAATGATGGTTTTATTCTTTCCTTCATACCCTGTGTTTTTACCTCCCTTTTTTGCCTGTGGAACCTGGCTAAGACTTCTGGAACACTGTCAAGTTAGGGATGGTGATGCTGGGCATTCTTGACTTAGCCCAGTCTTGAGGGGGCGGGACGGGGGGGAGGGACTCTTTTCCAGCAGTATTAATTTAAGTTTAATGTAGATACTTTCATTAGATTAAGGAAGTATTTTCCTATTTCTGTCTTGCTAAGAGTTTTTATTATGAGTGAGTGTTTGGTAAACTATCAGTTGCTTTTTCTGCATATATTAAGATAACTCTGGTTCTCCTTTCTGAAAATATGGTGAATTACATTGATTGCTTTTTTAAAATTAAGACTTTATTTTTCCTAAAGCAGTTCTAAGTTCAGAGCAAAATTTAGGGGAAGGTACAGAGGTTTCCCACGTGCCTCCTGCTCTGGTACATGCACAGCCTCCCCATTGTCAGCATCCCCACCAAAGCGGAACATGTGTTACAGTTGATGAGCCTGTAATGACACATCGTGATCACCCAAAGTCCGTCATTTCCATGGCGGTTCACTCTTGGCGTTGTGCATTCTGTGGGTTTGGAAAAACGTATAAAGACTCATATCCATCATTATAGTGACATACGGAGTATTTTCAGCACCCTAGAAACCCTTTGAGGGTTTGAGTTCCTTGTTTGGCTAATAAGTTACTTGAAATACATTGCTTAATTTCCAGACAGTTGGGAATTTGCTAGTTACCTTTTTTTGTTTTTGTTTTTTTTCTGCAGTACGCGGGCCTCTCACTGCTGTGGCCTCTCCCGTTGCGGAGCACAGGCTCCGGACGCGCAGGCTCAGCGGCCATGGCTCACGGGCCCAGCCGCTCTGCGGCATGTGGGATCTTCCCGGACCGGGGCACGAACCCGTGTCCCCTGCATCGGCAGGCGGACTCTCAACCACTGCACCACCAGGGAAGCCCCGCTAGTTACCTTTTTGTTGGTGTCCACCTTAATGCTAGACACAACACAGAGCATATATACTCTCAGGAATTTTAGTCCTTTGATATTTATTGGATCTTGTGCTTTCACCTAGCACGTGGTCAATTTTAGTAACTATTTCACCTGCAAAGATGAGTTGCTGGTGGGTGTAGTATGTTATATGTCAGTTAGATCGTTTATTCATCATGCTGTTCAGATCATCTGTATGCTGCCGAAAGGTAGGAGGGTGTATATAATCAGCTCTGCCCCTTGTCCCCTCTATCTGTCTTCAACTTCCCTCTGCTTTCGGAGGTGCCCACTGGGCTTGGTTTCAGGACTGGTGGCTGTCGTCAAAGGACAAATAGCACCGCGTGTGTGTGTGTGTGTGTGTGTGTGTGTGTGTGTGTGTGTGTGTTAGTGCCTTTTCCTTAGCTCTTCAGGGTCTTGAATGCCCAGAATTGGCAAACGCCCTTTAGGGAAAGGCGGCTGTTGAGGACCTATTCCTTCTCCATCTCTGTCACCTCCTGCTGTCTTGGGCTCCACACATCTGGGTTGTTTTCTAATCCGGCTTCTCTGAGTTTTCTCAGTGGGAGTTGTGGTCTTGCCCGAGCTATTCCCTCACATTCAAATGGACATCCTCCTATCACACTTTATTTATTTATTTTAAATAAATTTATTCATCTATTTATTTTTGGCTGTGTTGGGTCTTTGTTGCTGCACGTGGGCTTTCTCTGATTGCGGCAAGCGGGCCTACTCTTCATTGCAGTGCACGGGCTTCTCCTTGCGGTGGCTTCTCTTGTTGTGGAGCACGGACTCTAGGTGCGCGGGCTTCAGTAGTTGTGGCTCGCAGGCTCAGTAGTTGTGGCTTGTGGGCTCTAGAGCGCAGGCTCAGTAGTTGTGGTGCATGGGCCTAGTTGCTCCGCGGCATGTGGGATCTTCCTGAACGAAGGCTCGAACCTGTGTCCCCTGTATTGGCAGGTAGATTCTTAACCACAGAGCCACCAGGGGAGTCCCGTATCACACTTTAAAAAACTTAGTCATATGTGCTTTTTGGTTTTGTTTTGTTTTCAGTTGTGACTGAATTTTCAGTGTATGAAGAAAGAACTTGTATTTCACATAAAAGTTTTCAAAAGTAGGCAGCAAAATTAACATATTTGGCTCTCCAGTGAGATTTTCTCACAAATTTAAAGGCTGTGATTTAAAAGGAGGGTGGTGTTAAGTTATGTTGTTTACAGATAACACTGATTTTTTTTTTTTTGCACGATACGCGGGCCTCTCACTGTTGTGGCCTCTCCGGTTGCGGAGCACAGGCTCCGGATGCGCAGGCTCAGCGGCCGTGGCTCACGGGCCCAGCCGCTCCGCGGCATGTGGGATCTTCCCGGACTGGGGCACGAACCCGCATCCCCTGCATCGGCAGGCGGACTCTCAACCACTGCGCCACCAGGGAAGCCCCAGCACAGTGACTTTTGATGGAGCTGAGATAGGGTTCCCGGCCTTTTAATAGTTTGTTTAACCGATATTTATTATTCTACTGTGAACCGGGTACTGCTCTGGGTCTGGGGTTGGCACGGGGTAGGGGATGGAATACAGTGATTATCTTGGTAGATTAGGTCCCAGTTCTCTTCAGGCTCAACTTCTGCATGTAACAAAATAGGGAGAGAATAAAGAGCAGTGTTGTTATGTCAGTATCAGCAAAACACATTTTAATCAGTAGATTTCAAATATTGTACACTGAAAAATTTTTTTTCCTTTTACAGAATATGACAGATACCTAGCATCTAGCAAAATAATGGCAGCTGCTTACCTTGACCCAAACTTGAATCACACACCGAATTCAAGTACCAAGACTCACCTGGGTACCGGTGTAGAACGTTCCCCTGGGGCCATGGAGCGAGTGTTGAAGGTCTTTCATTATTTTGAAAGCAACAGTGAGCCAACCACTTGGGCCAGTATTATCAGGCATGGAGACGCTACTGACGTCAGGGTAAGTACATTTTCCTAGGACACATCCTCAGTGTATATGTAGGTTAAATGGTAATGGCACGTACCAAAAAAAGGCAGAGTAATAATTTTTATTCCCATATTTCAGAGATGTTAATTTTTCTCTATAGTATTTATTGAGTTAATATGTGACGGACCAGAGTTTTAATTTACGTAAAATTTCTTAGAAAAATAGTAACTGCATCATATTATTCATATAATGCCATTGACTTGTTTTTCTCTCCTGTTTTTAAAAAAATTCTTTGAAGTATACAAGGAAACAAAGGAATTAAAATAGCCTCTAATACTGTTGAAATAAATTATTTTCTAGAAAGTGTGATTTTGAAGGTATTTGCATGACTCCAGGTAGGATAGATTCTTAAAAAAAATATATGTATATCTTCTATATACCAGACACTTGGCAAGGTTCTGGGGATATTAAAGGTCCTGGTCATACAGCTTCCAGTCTGTCGTGGGCGAGATGCCCATGGCCTTAATTGCAGCGCGGTGCAGGCAGTGCTTCCCGGGGTGTCACAGATGACGAGGGCCGACAGGGGCGTCACTGCGTGTGGCTGTGAGAGGTGGCTGGACACACGTTCCTCTGGGTGCTGATGAGAGTGGGTGCAAAGAATTGTGGGGGGAGCACAGTGTAGGCAGAGGTTGCTGAGGGTGAGGAGTGGGCACCGTGATCTCAGAAAACTGAGTTCAAAGTGTGAATTTTCAGGATGTTTACTTTGATCAAGTGTTGAAGAAACCCCTCCTCCCTCCTGCTCTTTCACTTAGTCCCTATTCATCTTTAAGGAGGACAAGTGTCCAGCGAGTAGGACCATCAGATGTATCTCCCCTGCTTTCAGTAATAAAGAAGCAAAGTAATTTGTACTCTTTGACTTATATGCCTTAACTGTTTTTAAGTACAGTAAAGGGATTGGTAGAATTTAGATTTAAGGCTACATATTACATACGCATTATATATAATATTCTGTTACCTCCTGTGATACTGTAATACTGACTATTCAAACAGACTAATTATTAAAAGGAGAATCATTCACTCAGGATTGAAACATGTGTTAGTATCTATTCATGTGCTATACTTAAAATATAGTAGTCTCTTTTTACAAGCTTTCCATGAAGCTTGCTGGCTTTTTCTAGTTTTTCTATAGTTCTGTGTTATATTTAACCTTATAAACACAGTCACTGGAGAGAAACCTTGTAAAGGTAACGTTTATGGGAAGGCTGTTAGGGTATGTTCTAGTTTTTATAAATTTCGGATACAATGAGAGAGGAAATTCTTTAAACCATCACATCGGCCTTAATAAACTTCAGAGCATTTGTGCAGGAGGGGAGCCTTTCAAAGATTATGAATTTGACAAGACGTTAGCAAATGTTCAGAATTTATTATATCAGAAATTCACCTGGGAAGGACTCCGTGACAGATGTGCCATGGTTTTAGTATCACAGGTGCTGCACATGAGCGGAATCATACCACGAAGAGAACCAGTGATCACTGACACGTGTCCGCCTGTAGCCAATGTTAAAAACTTACCAGACATCAGAACACTCATATTGTGAAGAAAAATTTAAACCAGATACAAATACATAAGTTATGAGAACATATTTGTTAAACGCTTATGAAGATCAACACGAGCAAATCTGTGTGGCCAAAGAGCAAGTTGTTTTATTTCACAGTAATTGATAAATGTCTGGAATTTAGCAAGTCTTAGCAGCCGATGACTGAGTTTTCAACACGAGGCAGAGACACCTCTATTGGCATTGCTTGAACCCAGCCCTCTCCTGGAGGAGCATGAAATCAGCATAGTGCTGGGTCACTGTGATGGCAGGTGGGTATTATTCACAACCCACTTCCTTCTACTGCTGTAACATTTGAAAATGCAGTATTTTCATGTAAGGTAATTAATGGATGGATCTAAAAATCAACCATTTTCTGAAAGGAGGTAGCTTATTTTTATCCAGAGTTGATGAATAATTAGATTGAGTCTCAGACTCTGTTGCTGCACTGCCCGATGTGGTAGCCGTGTGCAACTGCTGAAGACTTGAATGTAGCTAGTCTGAATTGATGTTTTGTAAGTGTAAAAATACAACTGGATTTCAGAGATTTAGTATGAAAAAGAATGTAAAATCTCATCAGTAATTTGTTATAATTTTGTTTTTGGCATGCTAGGTTAAAGAAAATACATCATTAAAATTGAATTTGCCTGTTTCTTTTTACACTTTTTTAAAGTGACCGCTAGAAATTTTAAAACAACATATGTAGCTTGCATTATATTTCTGCTGGACAGCTGTGCTCTATAGAAAGTAATTATCTGAGAGACTGCTTGACTCAGAAGAACCAAACCTTTGGAGGAGTTGAAAGGTTTATTTTCACCAGGAAAAATCTGGATTCTTGTTATAATTCATTACAGAGGTTTCATTTCTCATGCTTTAATAGATTTCACTCCTATTACATATTTGTGCTAATTATACATTAATTGTATAGAGGATGCTGAAAGGATTCACAGAACTCCACTGGGAATAGGTAGAGTATATACAGCAGCAGTAGGAACACGGTACTCATTGAAGGGCTTTGGACACCTCAGGCATAGGCCTCGTGGCCTTGGGTGCTCCCAGCCATCACTGGCCACGTGTGCAGCACCCAGGTGTGAGGAGGGCTAAGGCCTCCTTGTGGTGGGATCTGTGAGATGGGCACAGAGGCACGTTCCATCTCCGTAGCCAGCCTTGCCCTGTGTAACTGCCCAAGTGCCACCAAAATCAGGTGCAAGTTGGAAATCCAGTTATAATTACTAAACAGTGGTGCGGGCTAGTTGTGTCCTGCCCCAAATAATCAGTAGCCCATGGTCGCAAACCTCACTTATCTTGGCCATAGCTGAGTGTCAGTATCATGCTTCAGGCAGCTCTGGAGATAAGTGTGGGGTCAGTGCAGAAGAGCCAAGATTAACCCGTGGTGGACAATACTGAATAAGATTTGTCATCTAGAAACATTGTAGTGACACTTCAGAATAATAAGGGTATAGAGAAGATCCAGATACTACCAGAGAAGTCTCCTACTCAGGGAAAAGAACATTTACATCAGACTTGAATCTGCGATGCCGGGTGCAGGATAACATTGGAGCAGTGTCCTCAGGGGCTCTGGGGAACAGCTTGTACCTCTGGAGTCTATACCAAGTACATTATCAATCATAAAAACATGGAGTGAAGGTATCTGTAGAGAAGTAAGGAGGTAGGAAGTTCATACCATAGGCTCTCTTTGAAAACACAGCTAGATGACATCACAGAGCATGAAGAAGTGTGGACCCAGAGGGAAGCACTGTAGTGGGGTGCGAGAGGCTGGCTCCCCTGCTGGCCTCGAACGTCTTCAGAGGCTCTTAAAGCCGTGGCCGTGGTTTCATCCCACGCTCTTGCCTAGTCCACAACTGTACCCCGTTCTGACCTGTTTCATTTTCAGTTTAAGACCTAATGCCGCCCAGCTGCATCTGTCCCTCTCTTCTCTGTCTTTGCCTTTCTTTCTCCAAAAGAACCATCAGTGCTTCAGAGGAAGGGTCTCCTCTTCTTTTAGTTAAGTAGGGCCCTTGGCATCATCTTTTACTCCTTTTGCTTATACCGTGCATCCAATGCATTAGCTAATCCTGTCCACGTTGTCCTCAGAGTGTACCTGGAATCCCCCACCTCCTAGGACCTCAACTGCACACCTTTCTCGGAGCCACGTGGTCTCCTAACTGACATCACAACCCAGCAGCCAGAACGGTCCTGTTAACATGAGAGCCAGAGCACATCACTCCTCCACTCGGAACCTTCCAATGCCTTCCTCTCTATTTGGAGTGAATATTCAAGTCCTTCAGGAGCCCCTAGCCCATTCCTCTCCCCGTCTTGCCCTGTGACCTTCCATCTTACCGGTCACCCACTTTTACGTTCTGCTTCCTGGACCTGTTTCTCTAACATGCTCGTCTTCTAATCAGTAATTTGCTCAAAACCCCCAGTAGCTCCCCATTTCTCTCAAAGAAAAGCCACATTCATTCCCCCAGTGGCCCACAAGGACCTACAGGACCTGGCTCCTTGTTACCCATCCTGAGCTTCCAGCAAGCAGCACACCCTTGCTGATGCCTTTGTTTTAGCCCAGTGATACCCATTTCAGACTTGTGATCTACACAACTGGCAAGTCACACATTTGTGTTATTCTGAGCCCCTAAGTTTGTGGTCGTTACAGTAGCAATGAGAAACTAAGAGTGACTGTAGATTGTCGAGACAAAAGTGCATGCTTTGTCTTGAGGACTGTTAGGTGGGCCCCTCGTCTGCTGCTGAACCAAGAGCAGAAGATGGTGCCCTGGCTGTCGGAGAGCAGGACTGGATTTCCGCATCTTGTTTTGGTAACTGAATGATGCTAGGCTCCTACCTCTACAGGTGCGATCAGAGAAGAATGGTGGGAACCCATTGATTCCTAAATGTAAAGAGTATCTGAAAGAGAGCACACTGAGAAGAAGAACCCCTGGACAGGATAAAAGACAAGTCAATTCTTAGGAGGGAGTGAAGAGATGAACAGTGTTAAGAACAATACATGTGACCTCAGATACCTCCTCTTGTGATAAATGGAGAAATGTTGCAAACTGCCTGTGAGGAGATAGCTAACAATATGAAATGTCCATTATCATCTTGTCCCCTGCCTTACCTTCCGCACAGATGACTTACTCTCCCGCATGCATTCATTATCACGTCCTCTTCCTGCTCAGCTCTAAGACTTGTCAGGGTCACGATCGCATCTCATCGTCATTGGGTCGCTAGCACCAGGCATGCAGCGGGCCTTTAGGTGGCTGCTGAGCAGTTGAGGGGTGCACATTCACGAGTGAACGGACGTCAGGGACGCGGCTGTACGAGTGCTCTCCACCCGGGAGAAGGTCACTTCTGTTCAAAGCGCTGTCTAAAAGATAAGTGGCCAGGTTGAACCAAGCAAAGTCATAACAAGAACTTTCAGAAACAAACACAATTACAGCCTCATCTCACTAGTCAGCAATCAGGGAAACGTAAATTATAACAGCAGCCCCCGCCCCCGCCCCCGTCCCCCACCCCAACCCCATCCCCGTTTGGTGCATCACATTGATGAACATTTTAAGATGGATTTCATCCATTATTGGTATGAGATGAGGAACAGTCTGTCACATTATGTGTCAAGTGTAATCGGTATAGTTTTGTTGGTGCATAGTTTGGATGTACTTACCAAAATGTCATATTTTAAGTAGCTCTTGACCCAGCACGTCTGTTTCTAAGCAGTGCCTGTACGTATGTATGACGACAGCTAGAAGGATGCTCCTGGCAGGATTACTTGCGTTTCCACCTCCCTTTCCCCCAAAACAAGGAAACAAAAAAGAAAATAACTATCTCCCAGTAGTAAAATGGCTGAATTGCTATGTTCCTGATGAAATACAAGCACGATGCAGACACTGGCTTCTTTTATTTCCAAGTTTGAGAAGAGTCCTTTACTGTGAATATCTAACATGAGAATTTAATCAGGAAAAGTGTATGTTTCTAAGGCCTGGGCTGTGATATAAATGAATAAAAGGAGTTTTCAGAGTAGCTAAGTGTTGCTTTGTGTATTGTAGGACTAGATTGTCATGAGCCTTTAAAGCCAGGAGGAGAAATTTAAGTTTAATTTGGATACCATCAGTGGCATATTATGAACCCATGTCCTCTTAGCTCCCTAGAGACAGTCCCTTTTCTAAATGTACATATTCCGGAAATAATATACACATATACTAACGTGTGTGTGTGTGTGTGTGTGTGTTATATGGAAGTGGTAATGTTTCCATATGGTAGCGTTGAGTTTGCATTTCTCACTAAAAATTTAGTTCTCGAAGTTATTTGTTCAGTTATTCAGAACCAAATAGTTCTCAAAATTATCAGTACTTTTTACTGAGTACTTATGTACATTTAGCATCAAATATTTAAGTACCTCGTCCACTCATAACCTTGGCTGCTATCCAGACTAAGTCCGAAGTGGCATTTATGAGAGTATTAGAGAATGAGACTGGGACGGAACTCAGTATGGGAACATCATAGAAAAGCAAGAAGTGAAATAAAAGGGAATGCCTGTGTTTATTGCTTAATTGTTTAGTGGAGAATGAAATTGCAACCTGGCTTAGGTACCAGGTCCTACAGTTTGGGGACTCTGGTTATGCAAACCCAGACTTGAAATTATTCCAGTGTCTTCTGGCAGTGCGATCAAGTGAACTGACTAAAATTCTGTCTATTCCACAAGACTTCGAGACTAGGAACCTGCCTTCCTCCTAATCACCACCATGTGTTTGGACTAAGCCCCTCTAATTGATACTGCTTCTCTGCAGGTGGGCTCCTGTGTGTGCCCGTGAGTCAGAGGACATGAGGGTCACCTGCGCTGTGCGAGGGGTCATCAGGGCAGGCACCCAGCGAAGATGGGGTTTCTCCCGGGGTGTTGATGGCAAATACAAGTATAAGGAATGGTTGTGCCCTGCCTTACACTCTACATCTGGGCGTGGAGGGGTAGACAGACCAAGACACAAAGATCTGGGGGTGATGTGGAATCGGAATCAAGGGGAGATGAGCAGGGTAACTAGAGCCTGTGTGCTCTCGGGAGTGAGCTGGCAGAGCGGGGGCGAGAGACAAAGGCGCTTTTGTGGGAGTTTGAAAGAGGCGCCAGCGCCTGTCCTTTGCAGCTCAGGGATTTGGATGCTGGCAACGAGAAAGCTGCACAAGTCGCCTTTCAGAGAATTAGCAGAAAAGATGGCCCTTCCTGTAGGCAGATCCCGCACCCCAGAGCACAAGATTTGCAGGCGAGCTTGGGGCTGGATCTGGGCTCCCACCGTCCCCTGGCAGGATGCCCTTGGGTGGTGTTCAGCCTGCACTGTCATTCACGGCGGCCCTGTCAGAAATTCAGGCCTTGAATCCAGAAGCCAGAAAAAACGTTTTATGCTCATTCCAGGTACCACCCCAATCCACCACCCCCACCCCCACCCCGTCCCCGAGTTCTGTAGGCTGCAGACATGCCTCCTGTCCCAGTAAGAGTTCATCTTCTTCCTGAAGCTGTTGTCAGCTCTTCCAGCCGGGTTCTTTTTCATGCTTTCTCTCTGGTGCCACGTTTGCTCCCTCCCTCCATCCTTCCTCTGCCGCTCTCCTGGGCTCGATGCACAGCCTTGTCCTGGGGATTGAGGAGTCAGGAAGGGTGGTTGGCATGTGCAGGTACAGGAGTGCGGCACACGTCCTGCCCGTGGTGTGGACTCGCTGGGTCCTTGACAGTTTTTGAATATAGTACATGTTATTATTTATCTGTTCTTACGGGTAGTGCTGGGGACATCCTTAATTGTGTTACCAACAGCATTGTGCCATAGTAAATACTAGTGTGTGCAGAACTTTTAAGATGTGTCTTACATTATAAGTTATGTGTTAGCTTCAGTTAATTGCTAGTCTTTAAAAACCAATGGTGTTTTTCTCTAGTAGATAGTTCTGATTTTCCATGATAGACATTTTCATGTTAATCTCAGAATCATTAAAAAAAACCTTATTAATGTCCTAAAATATTGAGAAGATTGCAATGGATGGTGATTAGCACCCGCTCACGTTAAGGGTGGCAGATGGTCTCCATCGTATTCCCAAGGTGTCTTCCACGTGTGCTACCCATTTACAAACATAGACGCCTGACTTACACATCTCTGTGGGCACAGGGCGAGAATCAGTTCTAATAACACTTTCTTTTCCACAGCCCCAGGGTAAACGCCTTCCCTAGGGAGCCTTCCCTGATGCCCTCCTTCAAAGGTCACCTTCATCTCCTCTGAACTCATGGGGCACACGTGTTAGAAAAGTTAGGTTGGGGGCTATTGTGAATTGCTGCATGTTAACCTATAGAGAGCAAAGAGCAGGTGGCTAGGCCTAACTTTAAGTATCTTTTCATATGTCATCAGTACTATCAGAAACATGGCCTTAATTATATGTTCCTAAATGTGTGTTTTTTAAAAATGATATTAGGGTTGCAGCCTGTTCTCAACAATATCGTTGGTTCAGAAAGTATATAACCTTCCACAGGTCTCATTCTTAGGAAGCCACCTGAGGTGTGGCCGTGTGCTCTGATGAGTTGGGGTGACGCAGAGGTGGAGCTGCAGAAATCAATAAAGAAAGGGGAAGTGCCTCTTTTTGTGGTTTTTAAAAAACTTTTCTTTGTTCATAAAAATACTTTTTGTGAAAAAAGATTTCTAAGTAAAATTAAGTGATTTATTTAAATTGATACTCTTTTACCAAAGATTTCTGATAATTAACTAAAAGAAATGAACATTGCATTAATTTTTAGCATGCAGTTTTTTGTTTATAACAGTCGTTTTTGTGGGGGGTATGTTTTAGGGCATCATTCAGAAGATAGTGGACAGTCACAAAGTAAAGCACGTGGCCTGCTATGGATTTCGCCTCAGTCACCTGCGGTCAGAGGAGGTTCACTGGCTCCATTTGGATATGGGTGTCTCCAATGTGAGGGAGAAGTATGAACTTGCACACCCACCAGAGGAGTGGAAGTAAGATTACAAACCTACTTTGGGGCGACTCGAACTTGATTTGTTTTGCATATTAGAGACACGCACAAGGGGATGATTATCTATGCTTAATTTTCACACTGATTGTCACTGGGACTCCTGTATAAATAGAGTTGGCCGGTAATTATTAACTAGTGATCTTTTCTGCACTCCTGTGTAGTCTGTCTTGGGGCACCGCTGACCTGGACTTGCTGAGGCGTCTGACTGATCTCATGCTTTTGTGATGACCTGTCGCTCCTCCCACTTCTCTTGTCTGTGCTGCTCTGTCCAGCCTCTGCTCTGAGGAGGACTCAAGCCCTAGTCCTTTTACTTCCTGTTCTGCTGGCACCCTTTCGTGCAGCAGGGCTCCCTGTGCCTGGAGGAGACCACACCCAATTACCTTATTAATGGGCTGCAGAGCTCGCTTTGTTGTGCCCAGTACAGTAATCCACAGCCCACCGAAGAGAGTCAGCGTCTCTTGGATGTTCACACATAACATTGAAATTAGGAAGTAATCTCTTAGTGAGTCATACTGACCTTAATGAAACTAAAACCATTCAAGGTCAGTTAAAAGAATTCCCTGTAAATTGTCCTTTTCCTGGTTCTCTCCTAATAATTTTTTTCACGTTTAAGTAAACCAAGATGTTTGTAGGAAATTATACATCTAAAAGCACGTTTGAGAGAAGTATAACTTACAGAACGGGGTTCTTCCACACTGGCTCCCGTTTTTATAGATAATGCTGAGGAAGTAAAGATCGCTGTAGAGTGAAGAGAGCATTCAAATGTCAGTAACTTTCAGTTCAAGGGTCTAAGTTGAGAAGATTAGAAAGATTAAAAAGAAAAACAGATATGTTTAGGTGAGTAAATCTTTAGTTGAATAAAATCTTGACCCAATTACGGTTTATCAAAGAAATATAGTCGTATTTTCAAATTCAGCAAATAGCTGAAACCGAGCTAACAAAATAGTCCGTGAGAATACAGTTTGGTTGCTTTTCATCACTGGCTGGCAAAGATTTGACTTCCATCTATTTGGTCAATTAATTAAATGAGTGTTTAAAACCTAAGAATATCTAAAGGTTACTTGAAAATACCTCTAGGTATTTTTAATCAGCACAACTTTGTTACCTTCTGAATTCATGCAGACATGTCAGAGGCAGCCTTCATTATAGCAATAGTTGTAGTGCTCAGTAACGTGTTAAATGTAGATCCCTGTGCATACAAGCTTTGCTTTTGTTCTTTGAAGCCACCTTATTTGACCTAATTTCAAGTAAACTTGAGTAGGCTACTTTTTTAGTGGAGCCTGGATCCTCAAACGTAAGGAAGACTTGGCTGACCCTCTTCAAATGAAGGGTGATGAAGATGGTGACCTTGATGTATTGTCACCATCGAGTGGCTGTTAAGAGCCAGGCACTGTGCCAGCTGTGTGCTATTTACGATTTATTTATTTGTAATTTGTAAACTGTATATTTCATTTACCCAAACCCTAGGAGGTAAAGACTTGTTATCCTTATCTTACAGATGAAAACAGAGGCACAACAAAATTGATTTAAGCTGCATTCACATAGATAGTTTGTGACACAGTTTTGATTTGGATTTAGCTATCTGACTTCACAGTATGGGTTTTTAAAATCAACATGCCTGTCCCAAGGGGAATAATGTGATCTTCGAAACTCTGAGAGTGTAGCTAGGCTTATGAGATGAGTGAAGGTGCATGGATCGTCGGTAGAGGCGATGAGAGAAGAAAATGTGATCAGAGATACCATTGATACACGCGTGGTATCGTCCAGAGTGTGAGGGTTAATACAGATTGTTCTAAAGTGTCAGTGGGGAACAGGAGGCTGTTAAGTAACCAAGCAGATTTGAGAAAGAACAAAACAGAAGTTCTGGAAATCATTGGATAGATAAAGCAGCAGATTAGACATAGATGAAAACTTAGTAAACAAGAAGGTGGATCTGAGAAAATTTGCCCAAAATGTAGCACAGAGATGAACAGGTGGAAATTATGAAAGCAGGTTTATGTAACATGGAGAATGAGAAGGTCAGCCCTTTTCTAACAGGAATTCTGAAGAAGAGAATAAAAAGAATGAGGAAGAGGAAATAATCTGAAGAGAAAATAGCTGAGAACTTTCTAGAATCAGTGAGTGATGTGCATCCTTAAATGCAGGATTAACAAAAAATCTCAAACAGGGCGAATAAAACTAAACGCATACTTCGACAAATTATAGTAAAATAGTGTTGTACAAAAGAAAAAGAGAGGATGTTAAAAGCAAGCAGAGAAAAATTGAGACTTCTTACAGCATGATTGATGCCAAGACAATGGGGGGATTATACGTTCAAAGTGGTGGGAAAATATAACTGGCAGCCTGTATTTGTTTGCACAGTTAAATTCCCTCAAGAACAGATACCGGCTAAATATGAGGGTAACAGCTCAAACATTAGAAATATAACTTCAATACGAGGGTAACAGCTCAAACATTAGAAATATAACTTAAATACGAGGATAAAAGCTCAAACATTAGAAATATAACTTAAACCGTAGTTGGGTAAGTAGGTATTAGAGAAACGTAGGGATCAAAAAGAAGGAAAGAGATAGAGAAAAGGCACGGGAAACAGGATAAATAGAAATCACGAATAAGATGCAGGTATACTAACGGTGAATGGTCAGAGGGTATTAGAGTGTGATTAAAAAGTAAATTCTAGCTCTCTGCTATTTATAGGCTGTATCCAAAACAGTGCTGTTCAAACATTTTTCTTTGACTTACAGGAAGAAATGTATTTTGCCTTGAGATTTAGTGCACATATACCTGTTTGTGTATCTCAGAGCTATTTGTAAATAACGGACCTACATATTTCACAAAACATACTCAGCCTTATTATTTACACTAAAGTCTAAGGGTTTCTTTTCAATGTCATTCTGTTTTGTTCTACTTAAGTAAAATAAATTAATAAATAAATAGTAAAAAGAATTTTCCTACCTACTAATGAGTCCTGATTTTCAATTTGAATAACTCTCACATAAAACATGAGTACAAGTATACCAGACAAATAATAACCAGGAAAAAAAAAAGATGAGTATTATGCTATTAGTATCCTGTGCAAAAAATTTTCAGGCAAACAAGAATTATTATGGATGTAGAGGGCAACTACATAACAATAAAAGGCTCATTTCACCAAGAATTTAATAAGTATAGAAATAGATATAACTCTTAAACTTATAAATTCCTAGACATTCCTCAAAATGTATAAAGCAAAACTAGTATTAAAGGAATAAAACTTACCTCTCCTAATAATTAAAAGGAAGAGCGCAAACAATAGTAAGTAAACACTAGTTTTAAAATTATGTATCTAACTATTTTTTCTAATGTAGAAATATAGGATCCTGCACGCAACAGTATATTGAGCAATTTAAAAACACATCTCTACGTAATTTACGGTTTGGGCTTCCCTGGTGGCACAGAGGTTCAGAATCCGCCTGCCAGTGCAGGGGACACGGGCTCGAGCCCTGGTCCGGAAAGATCCCACATGCCGCGGAGCAGCTAAGCCCGTGTGCTGCAACTACTGAGCCTGTGCTCTAGAGCCCGCGAGCCACAACTACTGATCCCACATGCCACAACTGCTGAGCCTGCACACAGGGAGCCTGTGCTTCACAACAAGAGAAGCCACCACAAGGAGAAGCCCGCGCGCCGCAACGAAGAGTAGCCCCCGCTTGCTGCAACCAGAGAAAAGCCCACGCGCAGCAACAAAGACCCAACGCAGCCAGAAACAATAAATAAATAAATTTATTTAGAAATAATAATTTATGGTTCAAAGGAAAAGGCCCAGCCTGCTGAGGGCCTGGCTTTGATGGGGTCTGTCCCTTCGCTGTCCAGTCCACTCTCTGCAGTAGCTCACGGCCGCAGTCACTTCCTCCTGTCTAAATACAGCTGGCCCTCAGCGTCCGCAGGTTCCCTGGTTCCGCAGCCGTGGATTCAACCAACCGCCGATACAAAATTCTGGGGGGGGGGGGCCTTCCAGAAAGTTCCAAAAAGTAAAACTTGAATTTGCTGTGCCAGCATCTATTTACATAGCACTTACATTGTATAAGGTACTATTATAAGTAATCTAGCGATGCTTTCAAGTATACAAGAGGGTGTGTGCCTCTTACATACGCAGGCTGTGCCAGTTTACATGAGCATACGAGGATTTGGGTGTCTGCGGGGGATCCTGGAACAATTCCCCTGTGGATACTGAGTGTACGTCCTTCATTTAGCCTCTCGTATACCAGACTGTTCTGGTGAAGGTTTTCCTCCTCTTTTACTGACCATCACGGTCTGTCTTCTCCTGCTTAGCCTTGACGTTTGGGGCTGCTCCAGTGACCTCTCTTCCTCTTTCTGCCCACCTTAGACCTGCCTTTGGCATTAAATTCACTCTTTATTGGATAAATGCAGGAAACCAATGGACAGGTTATTGCAGTAACCCAGGAAAAAGTCACAGAAGATGATGGCTGTGGGGAGTAGTACTTGAAGGAATGAGAAGCAGCTGTACCGAGATATGTTTAAGGTAGAGCTCACCGAATTTGCTGACAAATCTTTTAAACTGTAAACATCCAAGGAAATGTGTAGGTCGTCCCTGCTCAGAAACTCCCGGGAGCCCCCCATCACCCCGGGAGCCCCCCGTCAGCCCTGGAGCCCCCCGTCACCCCTGGAGACCCTCGTCAGCCTGGGAGCCCCCCGTCACCCCGGGAGCCCCCCGTCACCCCTGGAGCCCACTCTTGAGTTTGTGATTTTACTTCTGGGTCCTCGTCTCCGTCTGCTGCTCCTCCCCTTCCTCCATTTGAGCGATTTGAAATCTTAGTTTTCTGTTTTCTTAGATACTCAGGGTAGGGTCTCATTTGATGGTCTCTTCTCTGTTGCCAGCCTTCTTGCTTGTTGAATACAGTAACCCTTCATCTCACTTCTCTTTCTGCCTTTATCTTTTCCAACTTTTCACTTGCTTGACCTTGGCCACACTGGCGCTCTTACTGG